ACGTGTTTCCCTTTCCAGAAATGTTAATGTTGCAGTGACGTCTGGGATGGCGAAATTCAACGGAAAGTTTTGCATAGTCTGGACAAAAATCCCGTTCTTTCAACCACAGCTTTTCCCCAGCCCTGCTGAAGGAGAGGAGCCCTGTTGTCTAGTAGGGACCTAAGGCAGACTGGGAAGATGGAAGGAGTGAGTGAGAGAGTCCAAAATGCACCCCTTGGCCTCTTGTACATGGATGTGCACCTGCAGGTGCTGGGCTTTCCTCTGGAGTTGCTTGTCCCCTGAGCTCTTCTCCGAGCTCTCTCGTGCAAGAGCATCAAGCAGGCACATGGGCTGTGCTGGGTGCCCAGACGGTGTTGCGGTGGCACTCACTGACTTTGTAAAAGTGGCACCAGAACTAGCCAGGCTGCCGTCACTCAGGGGCCCGGAATAACCCCCACAGGAAGCAGCAGCCATGGGAACCGGCCCACGCTTTGCTCCAGCCATGCAGCCTCACCCCTCGTGCACTTCTGCTTGCCTGACCGCAGGGAAAGCTCCATTCCTGCATCGGCTGCTGCTGCATACTTCATGTGCACAGCTTGTCCCCTCTGTGCCCCCTCTGCAGGGCCCTACGCTGGGGCAGGCAGGGGCTGTGAGAACCCCCACAAGGTGCATTGCCACCCCAGCTTGCCTGGGGACAGCTCAGTCCAGGCAGCTCTGTCCCTGCATCCCACATAGGCCTGCTTTTGGTGGGAGAAGGTGGTGGGAAGGTGATGTTCCCCAATCCCTGCTGAGACTCTGCCTCATCCTTAGTCCCCCTGGGTCTTCATCTCACCTTGTGGCAGCTCCGCCAGGTGTTGGGTTCTTGCGCAAAGGAGCCAAGTGTGACCTGGCTGGGCAGGGAGCCTAAGCAAGGGCTTGGGTAACCTGTGGGTCTAGTGAGAAGGTGCTCACCCCTTGCTGTGCTGAACTGCCCTCTCCCTCGCACAGCCCTTGCCTTGTGCCAGGATCCCTGTCCCGTCAGGCCCAGCAGCAGCAGCTGATCTCCTGGGGAGGGCTGGTGGATCAGCATTGCCTGTGGGAGGGAGGTGCAGGTGCTTGCCCCATCACTGCTTGCTCTTGGGGACTGGTTTGCAGGAGCAAGGACAAATATCAGAGGGGAGAAGCAGCATTTCAGCAGGGCATGAAGACAGCAGCTTCCCGCTATCTGTGTTGCACAAGGCAGCCCTGCAGGCCTGTCACCACCTCCAAGTGTATAAGGAAAGGGAGGCTGCTCTTCCTAGGAAGTCACGAGTGGGTTTGACATGGTGTCAGGATGCCCAGACAGCACATACCTCAAAACAAAAAAACCTCTAGTGCCATATTTAGCAGCACAGAAGTGAGTGGCCATGATGTGATAGAGGGACAGTCCACCAGTGGTGACTCAAAGGCTGGTCTGCTGTTGCAGTGCTGCTGCTCTGCCCTTAGGAACTGCTGCTCCCCAAGCAAACCTGTATCAGGGCAGCTCGGATGCGCTCACTGAGAAGCAGCTAGTGGTGCTTGCTGGCTATCTAAGGGCACATCTGGAGGGGCTGCATGCTCAGCCCTGGTTGCATGGAGGAAGCAGGCCTGAGGGGTTGAGAACCAGCACTAGCAGGACCCAAATCAGTCAGGCTTCCTGAGCTGCATGAGGCAGAGAGCAGGGCAGCCCCATCCCATGGCTGCAGCTTTGAAGGACATTCCCATCACACAGGCACATTTTGCTCTGTTTTCCCAATGTGCCTGGTGTCACCTCTCCTGTGGTGCCACCAGATCCCCTTTTATCTCGGTCTCCCCTCTCTTCCCCTTCACCATGGGAAGGTCCTGTGAGGAAGAATTTAGTGCTTTGGGGGCTGTAAGTTTTTGTATAAGAGTCTGAACGCTTTCTAAAGCAGTGGCTCCCTCTTCTCCCTGTATGGCCAAGTGCCCAGCAGCACTGTCCATCCTCCTCTGAAGGTGCTACCATCCCTCATGTGTGCGGGCTGAGCCAGGGCCTTTAGAGGATGCTGCTGCAAAAATAGTTTGGAGCAGTTTTCCATAATGGCCAGGAAGCCTCCATTTCACACTTCGGTGCAGGAGTTTTGCATTGCAGTAGTGAATGAGTAACCTGAGGGGCAAGAAGGAGGGGAGTAGCCAGGTGGGGATGTGCCCGGGCCATTAGGAGCTCAATGGGGCTGGAGCAGCCCCCGGGGCATAATGGGCGCGCGGAGCCTGCAGGGCAGCTTGGAGGGCTGTGTGTGTCACTCCTCGCTGATTAAAGCGATGCTTCAGTCCGATGGGGCCAGGCTCGGCCTCGGCCCCGAGGCACGGCTGGGACAGCAGAGGCG